AGCACTGACCGAAGGTACGTAACAATTTTGTAGATTCTGATTCTATGAATTTTAATGTGAGATTCTTCTCTTCTATTCATATGTGAAATGCTTAATTTGAGAGATTCTTATGTGAGAATTTTCAAATATGTCTAAACCAAGACTACAATAACTACTTAGTAAACTTGTGACAAATGTGTCTTTTTATTCTAAATAGAACTGATGAGATGTTAAGAATATTTAGAAGATTAAATGGTTCATAAGTTGCCCATATAAGATTTAGTAATAAATGCTCTCATAAAATTCGCTTAAATTTTTTATTTTTTATTTTATTTTATTTTTGTGTGGGATAAATGAAAAACTGTACCAAACAAATATGTTTTCTTATCATTCATCCCTCCTGAATTAACTTTCTGACCATCCCAAATAGAAACTTAAACCCTATTTTGAATATTCGAATTTGAAGAGATTATGTCATATTTAAAGAATATAATATGAGACATAATATGTTAGTTTAAGAGATGGATTATATATATTATGAGATTAATTTTATTATGATTGATTAGATAAGATATAACAGCCTCATTTGGCAGAGCTTATTTCCAACTTATTTCAGTTTTTAGCTTAATTTCAGTTATTTTGGTGTGTTTGGTTCAACTTAATAATGCAGATTATAGTTTTTCTTAAAGTCAAAAATCAGCTTTTTCTTTGAGTGGAGGAGGAGAAGCTTTTTGGAACAACTTAACCGGGCAACTACAATTTGACGGGCAAAATGACTTAAATGCCCCTCACAATTTCAAGTAATTACAAGTGTACCATATATATAAATAAAAAAAAACTCTCATTTTTGTCTCTTCAACGAAGCTGTCTAGTGATTTCTGGCCATTTCAAGCGATTTCCGGCGAACATGAACTAGAGATCTCTCTCTTCTCTCTGTTTCCCTCGTTCTCTCTCTCTCTCTCTCTCTCTCTCTCTCTCTGCTACATCCATGGCACGAAACCTAGGGTTTTCGTCGTTGGGTTCGGAGGGTAGATCGCAATCGCCAGATCGCGGCAGATCACGATTTCCAGTGAACTCTCTCTTTCTCTACTACATCCATGGCACCGAACCTAGGGTTTTTCGTTGTCGGGTTCCGATCGCGGTAGATTGCGTGGCAAATCGCGGTAGATCTCTCTTTTTCTCTCTAAGCGATCACGATCGCCACGTCGCCACTGTACCTTCATCGTTGTCGTCCCCCATGTCGTCGTTGTACCTTCGTCGTCGTCCCCAACGTCGCCGATCAGATCTCTCTCTCTCTCGCACTGATGAGAGCTCTCTCCGATTAGATTTTAGTATTTTTTTAATAAAATAATAATAATAATAATTAAGCCATTATTATTAATAATTTTAGTATTAATTCTTAAAATCGATTACAAAAATTAATAATTTTAGTAATTTTAGTATTAATTATTTTAGTATTAATTTCAGTATTTTTATATTAATTAATACTAATTAATAATTTTAGTATTAATTGATTACAAAAATTCATTAATTGCCACTAATTAATTTATAATGAAATAATTTTATTTAGGATTAGTTTCAGTATTTTTTATATTAATTAATACTAATTAATAATTTTAGTATTAATTGATTACAAAAATTCATTAATTGCCACTAATTAATTTATAATGAAATAATTTTATACTAATTGATTTATAATGAAAAAATGAAAAATAATAATTTATAATGAAAAAATAAAAATAATCCATTAATTGACACTAATTAATTTATAATGAAATAATTTTATCAAATGTATCAATTTTAATATTAATTGATACTAATTAATACTAATTGCAATGACAATTGTTATATTATTAGTTGTAATGAAAACACTTTAATGAAAACAAAATTAATTGATGGTAATTAAGCCATTAATTGACACCTAATTCATTTATAATGAAAAAATGAAAAAAAAATTATACAAATTGATACTATTATTAATTTTAGTATTAATTGATGGTAATTAAGCCATTAATTGACACCTAATTCATTTATAATGAAAAAATGAAAAAAATTATACTGATTGATATTATTTTTAATTTTAGTATTAATGGATGCTAATTAAGCCATTAATTAACACTAATTAATTTGTAATGAAAAAATGAAAAACATTATACTAATTGATACTATTATTAATTTTAGTATTAATTTATGGTAATTAAGCCATTAATTGAGACCTAATTCATTTATACCAAAAAATGAAAAAAATTATATTAACTTTTGTAATACTAATTATATTAATTTTTATTAATGAAATAATTTTTAAAAAAATTAAAACTGAAAAAAATGACAAAATAATCATTTTTATATCATATAAGGACAAAAAGGATAATTATACAGTAAAAAGTGATTTTACAGCTTATTGGCCCCGTTTGGTAGAGCTGTGGGAAAGTGATCATAGATTGTAACTTATAGTTGTGAATATAAGCTGGTAACCTTGGTGCAGCTGTGAGATTATGGATTTAAGCAGCAGAGTAGTGTTTGGTAAATAAGCTGTAAAATAATTTTTTACTGTATAATTATCATTTTTGCCCTTATAAGATATAAAATTTGTGATTTCATTTATAATACATTTTTTTCTTTTTCTTTTTCTTTTTTCTTTTTCTCCTTATTTTCTTTTCTTTTTCTCCTTATTTTCTCTTCTTTTTCTTTTCTTTTTCTTATTTTTTTCTTCTCTTATTTCTTTGTTAATTTTTTTTAATTTATTAATTCAATAAAATTAATATTCATGTTCTAATTTATATTAATGTTGTGATTTCATTACATATTATCTTTTATATATTTATTTTAATTATTTATATCTATATTTCTTCAGTATCGATTATTATTATTATTAGTATCAATTTGCTCATTAATTATTAAAATTAGTATCAATTATTATTATTATTAATTTGTTCATCAATTATTAAAATTAGTATCAATTTGTTCATCAATGATGATTATTATTATTATTATTATTTGTTCATCAATTATTTTAATAATAATAATGAAGCACCGGAGATGGAGCGTCGGAGATGACCTAGCCACCGTCGAAACAATACCGGAGATGCGTGAATCGAAACCCATCGCCGTCGATGACCTAGCCCTCTTCTCCTTTAGTCGAAACCCTAGACCTTACGGTCTACCAAAACCCTAGCATGGTTTTCCGACCAGATCGCGAAGAGGGAGAGACAGAGAGAGAGCTCTCGTTGATGCGATGGCAGTGGTTTCTCTGACCAAATCGCAATGTTAGGATTTCAGATTGTGATCTAGCCTGGTTCTTCGACCAGATTACGAAGAGAGAGAGACAGAGAGAGAGCTCTCGTTGATGCGATGGCAGTATTATTCGATCAGATCGCGACGGAAAGAGAGTTTCAGATCGTGAGAGAGAGAGAGAGAGAGAGAAATAGAGAGAGAGATCGCGAAGAGAGAGAACCCTTTTTCGCTCTCGCCGGAAATCGCCTTGCCTCTCGCTTTGAAGTGAACAGTGATTGCGAATATGGGATTTATATATTGGTGTTTTGGTAATACTTGAAGTTGATGAGGGGCATTTAAGTAAATTTACCCTTTCCTTCTCAGCTTGCCATTTAAGCTGATTTAGAAAAACACCCCGATAGCTACTTTAAGAAAAAATTGATTTTTAGCTTATAAAAAGTAATAATTTGTATTCTTAAGTTACACCAAACACAACAAAATAGCTTAAATTAAGTTAAAAGCTGAAATAAGCAGTTTATAAGGCCTACCAAACAGGCCCATTAACCAAACACTACTCTGCTACTTAAATCCATAATCCCACAGCTGCACCAAACAGGTTAACAGCTTATATTCACAGCAATTAGCCATAATCTGTTAAGTTATAATCTATAATCACTTTTCCACAACTCTACCAAACGGGACCAACATCAGATAATAATAGAATAATTATTTTTGACTATTTGATGAATGATAAATCTAATCTCATTGTGGGAGATATGCAATACAATAAGAGATGTGGTATTACATATCTCCCATTTTTGAGGAAGATGGTGTCTAACTCCCTATATTTGGATCAATCAAACCCAAGATACAAGGGAGAAAAAAAAAAAAATGTAGACCCCAACGTCATAGAATATTCGACCACCCATTTATAGGATATTGGGTTACTGTTGTTCCTATAAGGTACAACAGCCTGTCGTGAGACATATGGGATTTGTTTAAAGTCTATTTCAAAAATTTTGAATTATTCATATTGTAATATTTGTCTAGTAGATTATTCGAAAAAAAAATTAGATTAACCAAATATTTGTAATTTCATAACATGATCACATTTGTTTGTAAAACAAAATAAACGGCTAGTATAATTTTGATAATTTTCTTAGAAACAATTAGGACCCGATCAACTTGATTTATGGGATTATAGATATCCGATAATTTTTTACATGAATGATATGTTCGAAAAACCTTATAATATAAATAGTTCAGATTATCAAAATAAGTTTAGAACAAACCGCTAACACAAGGACTCACTGTGGCTGTTGTTGTGCCTTATGGCACAATAGCAACCCCCCTCTACATCTCATAAGCAACAGGCCTTAAAGATATGTAGAGGCACTAAAAACAAAGATGGTATATTAAAAAAAAAGATAAATTACACTTCCTTTTAACATAATTATACTAACTTTCATTTTAATATAATTAAATGAATCAAAATTAATACAAATTGTGTGAAAACACAATAATAAACAATGTAAAATATATATTTTTCGTGTAAAAATGACAATAATATCATTTTTTCATCCATATAACTAACAAATTATTAATAAAAAGGAAGATAGTGTTATGTGAATCAAAATTTTAAGGGAGTTCAATATAATTACGTAAAAGCCACAGAAAAAACTATATATTTTTTTCTAAATTTCAAGAGACATCAATGTAATTTACTCTCAAAAAAATGATTAGTTTTTTCCAAGGACAAGAAAATCTCATCTCCAATCATAAAACCTATTGAAACAAGGTCAGCCCACTGTCAAATTACTTTTGTAAATTACAAAACTAGAAGGAAATTACAGGCCAATTACAGAAGACCTAATACACAAGCAATACACACACGAGAACTCAAAGCAAAAAAACTTGGCCACAGGAGCAACTCTTTGCCTTCCAAACTTTCTACAACAATGCTTTCACATATTAATAAGAGAAGATTTACAACATCTTGTTAGATTTCTTTGTCTTTGAAACATTGAACAAGCAAGAAATCCAAATCTGATTTGATCTTTGCATCAAGGCAGTCTGATTAATTGAAGAATCAGAACAAACCCGATAGCTCTGGAGAAGCAACAATAACACAGCTCCCTTTGGAAACATTCGTCAGTAACCAAATCATATTGTTCCTGCAACCACTTTGGTACCTAATATATACATACTTTATGCACTGCTCCACATTTGAAGCACTGCAGCGAACATAGCAAGTGTAATTGGCAAAACTGTCAACAAAAGCTGCTGCATTTACAGGAAAGTTGAACTCAGTTTCACTTACAGGACTAATTGCAGAGTGCAGAAATTACTACAGCAGGTCCTCATAGCAAAAGTTCACCATTCCTAGATGGCGCACAACAAGGAACCAGTAACTCAATGCGGAACCTTGGCTTACACATTTGGTGCCTGAAGTCCCATTATGGAATAATTTCAAATCTTTCTGGTACTGGAGCCACAGGTGCCTACAGCAGTTTATTCAGCCATGCCATAACCCTACAAGCCAAACAATAAAACAATTTAGGACCCCAAAAAAATTAAAATAAATTTTTTTTCTCCAAAAACAAAAGATTAAATGCTCATGTTCCAATTGGTTTCCAAGCAAAAACATGGAAATGATTCAAATGTAGAATCTCATATTTTCTGCTTTTGGACCTTTGTGTATGGTAAAACTGAGGTAGGAGCCAAAGATTTTGTCTTGACATCAAACATAAGGGAAAATGTTTTAGATTGAAGTGCATTCATAAGCATTTTAAAACAACGGAAGAATCATGAAGAGAAGAGTTTCTCAACTAGCATCAATAGTAACATCAATAGAATAAAAGGTCTAGTCCCGAGGAAATATATTTTGATCAGCACAAACAAAAGAAAGGGAATTAATTGACAAAGATTTGTAGCTAACGAAGCTAGAAATGGAAAGAGAAATAGTAGGAGGAAAAAAATCACCATCAATATCACTAATTTGGTATCGCTATCTTTTTCTTTTCTACATGTGAATGAGTAGAGAAATTGCTTCCTTAGTCCACTATTTGAGTTCCTCTTGCAACATTTATTGTCACGCCTGCGGAATTCCCCACCCACCATAACATTACTCCCTGTTTCAAATTTCTCTTTCTTAACTCATACTAATAAATAATAATTAACACAATATGTGGTTCATTGATAAACACATACAGTATTACATCATCAAATATAGAGAGAGGAATGAACCTTTTTATTAAGCTCACAGCAAACCAATCCATTCATTCGTCATAGCAAACCTATCATTCCTTCAACTCACAAATCCATATCATACATTAAATAAACCTGCAATAAACATTTAGCGATCATTATATGTATTTCTGCATATGAATTGATGCAATACTCAAAACATCCCACATCATGGCAGTCTGCAATAGCTGCAACCCAAAAACCCAATAGTCAATGCACCTACCAACGGACGCTGAAAAATAATAAAATAAATAAAATCAACCCCTGTCAGACAATCACCATTGCTTGGTACATCTTGTGACCACACAACCAATTATCAACCCTCAAGAACTACACTCATACAAGATTTGAGTATACAAACCCATATCAAATTTGGCAGAACCAACATTATTACACAAACCCACTCAATACATGTGCCGTGTACATACACTCAGGAAGAGAGCCTGAATTGATTTTTTTATCTCTACATAGCATACAAATATAAAATATTCACAACAGGTCAAAATTTTGAATTTGCATATATATATATACACACACGTATTTATACCCCGCATCTATTTACATTTATAGAGTACGAGATACGGGTTTTGAATTAATTTCCTTCTCCCTACCTATTGTTGAAAAATTGCACGAAAAAGCAAAAGAAAAGTAACCTGAAATCGCCTATCACTGCCGTCTCCTCTTGGCTGGCCTTACAGCCTCAGACTCTCTAAACCATAGTCGCTGATTTTACTCCCTGGCTGCTGCTAAACCAGTAGAGGACCTCAGATATACTTCAAGCTGTAGACAACCTTTTAAATTTTAGGCCTCAAATATTTTCCACATGTACACCATACCCATGGATGCCAGCAGATCAAAATCACCAATAATCTTGACATGAGCAGGTGCCGTTTCGGAAATGGTGGAAGCGCTTAACGTCACGAATAACTATTTCCCGATTTGTGATATGTGAAACCAGCTTCATAAAATCATGACAATCTCCACAAATGCGGAGATTCTTGAAAATTCTGATTGTTTTATTCGGTGTGTTACTTATAAGGGCAAAAGCTAAAGCCAACCTTTCACTATGATGAAATAGATTCCCCCTTTTCTCTCTGTTGGTCACATTATGAAGCACATAATCTGTGTTCGGAATATAGCCTATTGATGCAAGTTTCTGACCAAGGTCCTCCAACTTTTGATAAATTTCCAAGATCTTTGGATGTGAACCATCTTGAGACAAAAAGATGTGGATTTGAGCATTGCCCTCCACCCAGCTACACCCTGGTTCCTTTTTAACACCCCTACTGGACATAAATGCCCTAACCTTTGAAACATCACCCCACCTCCCTTTGGCTGCAAAAATGTTAGATAATAATATATAATTTGAATCTGTCTCTGGTTCAAGTTCAAAAAGTTTCTCTGCAGCTCTTTCACCAAATTCTTCATTTCCATGAATCTTACAAGCCCCAAGAACAGTCTCCCAGATCAAGGCATTTGGTGTAAGCTTCATCTGTGCAATGAAGCTTTCAACCTCATTAAATTTGCCTGCCCGACCAAGGATATCAACCATGCAAGCATAGTGTTCAATCAAAGGAATAATTCCGTACAATTCACTCATTGAAGTGAAATGCTTTTTCCCTTCCTCAGTCAAACCCATGTGGCTACAAGCAGAAAGAATACCAAGGAAGGTAACCCCATCGGGCACGACACCTTCATCTAACATAAACTTAAAAGCTTCAAGAGCTTTGTCTGCCTGCCCATGTTGTGAGTATCCACATATTATTGTGTTCCATGCCACAGTGTCACGAAAATCTAAGCCCTTGAAAAAAGTCTCTGAATCTTCTATGCTTCCACATTTTCCATACATATCAACAAGTGCACTAGCAACAAAGATATCACCAAAGTGCCCAGACTTAATTGCCAATGAGTGGAGCAGCCGCCCATTTTCAAGACTTGCTATCCCAGCACAACCCCTCAAACAGCTGGCAAGGGTGAACTCATTGGGCTTAACACCTTCTTTTTGCATCTGATTGAAGCACTGAATGGCCTTCTCCCCTTGATCAGTCTGCGCATAACCAGAAATCATAACTGTCCAAGTGAAGAGGTCTTTTTCATTAGATCTGTTAAAAACTGCTTCTGCATCTCCCAAGCACTTGCACTTGGCATACATGTCAATAAGAGCAGTTCCTATGAAACTGTTCTCATCAAGGCTCTCTTTAATAATATGGGCATGCACTTGCTTCCCAAAACTGACATTCCAAAGGCTGGAACAAGACCTTAGAATGCTGATAAATGTGTACATGTTGGGCTTGAAACCTTCCACAAGCATCTGGTTGAAGATACTCGGCCCTTGATCAAAGGTTTCATTGTCATGGAATCCTGATAAGAGAGCATTCCATGAAACTACATCCCTGTTACTCATTGCATCAAAAACCCGGTAACCATCATCTACAGATTCAATTTTCATGTACATTGTGATCAACGCATTGCAGACTAAATTTTCAGATTCAAAACCATATTTGTATACGCAAGCATGAATGCTTTCACCATAATGTGGGCTGAAATCGATGGCACTACTAACAATACTAGCTAAGGTAAATTGATTTGGTCTCAAACCAGTCTTCCTCATTAATCGAAATAGCTTTGCTGCTTCTCCTTTCTGCCCTTGCTGATCAAAACAAGTGATCATTGCAGTCCATGCCACTTTGTCAGGATTTTTTATCCTCATAAATACTTTGAGTGCATCATCCGCCAACTCACATTTGGAGTACATATCTACAAGAGTACAACTTACAAATTCATCAAGTTCACACCCAATCTTGATCGCCATAGAGTGCACAACCCTGCCAGCTCCCAAATTCCTGGAATTGGCAAAACCCTTGAGGACAGTAGACAAAGTAAACTTGCTATACTTCATTTTTGACTTTATCCCGCAAAACATTTTGAAAACCTTTTCCTCATCACCCATCTGAGCATATCCATTAAGCAATGCATTCCACGACACATCATTTTGCTTGGGCATGCAAAAGAACACTTTATCTGCATATTCCATCTCACCGCATTTTGCATAAAGGTCAACAAGAGCAGACCCGACATAAATATCTGAGAAAAACCCAAGCTTAATTACCTCTGCATGTACCTGTTTCCCAAACTCTAAGTCCAAGCAAATGGAACAAGCTTTCAAGCAAGTCGCTAAGCTAAACTCGTTCGGTCTAATACCCTCATTCCGCATCACAGAAAACAAATAAATACCATCACTTCCATACCCATCAGCCACAAACCCAGAAATCAGAGCTGTCCAAGACACGACATCCTGCTCAGGCATTTCGTCAAGCACCTGACACGCAAAATTCAAAACATGACATTTTGCATAGAAATTAATCAATGAAACCCACAAGTGCATATCTGGGTGTATCCCATTCTTGATGACCTGCCCATGAATTGCCTTCCCTTCATTCAAAGACAGTTTCAAAGCACAATCTCGCAGCTTTTCCGAATACCCTTTAAGCCTCTCCTTTCTATCCAATTCTACAATTCCTCCATCTAAATTCCTCCCAATTTTGATATTTGCATTTCTTTCAGGCCAATCAGGACTATATAACCTTGTGGGTATTTCCTTAAACCCACTGTGAAGCTGAAATTGTGGGTTTTCCAAATCATCAGAACCCGAATCAGTTGATACTTGTTTGGGTTCAACAACCTTCAAAGCAGCACAAGATAATGAACGAAAACGTAGAGAAAACAAAAATGGTCTTGAGAATGTATAAATAGTGGGAATTGGATTAAGGAGAGCTCGAAAAATTGGTGGTGGAAAACGCATATTTCGAGAGAGAAAGTCGCATTCCATTAACACGAAAGCGAAGCTTCAGTTATGAATCAAAGAGCATCAACTACGGAACACAGAGAAACAAGAACATGAAGGGTGTGCGTATAAGTATATACCTGTATAGTATATGTATGTATCTTCGCATATCTCTCAAATTGGAGTCTTTTTTGGTGGCAACTTTTGACAGAGAAACGAAGAACACAAAAGTGGAACTAACCAAAACGGCGGATGGAAGTGTTGATTGGGTTTTGTTTGAGTTTTTTGAATTGAATTTTTTGAAAATTAATTTTTTTATTTTTTATATATTTTTATTTTTAATAAATATTTTTTTTTATTTTTTAGATGTATCTTATTTAAATATATCTAAATTATAAATTATTTGTGAAAAATATTTTTAAAAATTAATAATTATATAAAATTATGAAAAATGTATTAAATTTTTTGTATTTTTTTTATATTTTTGGTATTTAGTGAATTTTTTAAAGATATTTTTTACAAACATTATACTTTCAGTGAAAATAAAAAAATACGAAAAATAAAAAAGTAAATTTTTTTTTTTGAAAAGTGAATTCTGAAAACTAAAAACAAACACAGTAATTATTATCTTGTTGATTATTCGGTTTGATTTTTTTAAAAATACCTTTAGATGATTTTTCATTTATTTTTATCTCAAGATGCATCTTTTTTATTTTATTTTATTTTTTATAGCATTAGTATGTTAGGTTATAATTGAAGAATGAATCACTGTTCCATCAATTTGAATTTCTGATCTCCTCTACTCACCATATCCTAAAGTGTAGCTATTTAAACCATTATGCTATATCCTAATGTCTTATCAAGATGTATTTGAAAAAGTAAAAATAAATTAACTAAAATATATATTTTTAAAAAATCATTAAAAATAGAAAAAATTGGTAATAAATCCAATTTAGAGGGTATCTAATGTATTAAATCCGGTGAATATTTTTTGTTAGTAAGAGGTCCACATTTTGTGAAATCGTTTGGTGAGAAGTCTTGTAGGACATTTTATTTTCAATTTTACCCCTTAACTTTTTTTTATCTGTTTGACTTTTCACTGATGATTTGTTCACATTTTTTCCTAAGAAGTCCTGGTTCAAAATAATTTAGCTCATCTTTCATTTTTACCCATTACATTTAGTTGAGTGATTTTGCCCTAAACCCAAACACATCTCTCTCTCTCTCTCTCTCTCTTCCTCACCGGCACATCATTTCTTCTTCCTCCTCATCCTTCTCCATCACCAACCATCATTTCCTTCTCATTCGTTGCCATCACCGTAACTCCTCCCCCATCATTCATCCGCTAGCTTCAACACCGTAATCCTCTGCCATCGATCTACCATTTTTGATATCGTCGTTGCCACCATCTTCCGCCATCACCAATCTACCCTTCAACATCGTCGTTGCCACTATCTTCCTCTATCACCGATTTGGGATGCAAAGTGTCCAATCAGTGCATTGAAAGGTGGTGTTGATCTTTTACAGACGTGTAACTGATCTGATAAATTTGTTACTTAATTCAGTGATAAATTTGTTATTTAATTTATGAATGATAAATTTGTTACTTACGCCTCGTTTGGGAAGTAATCTTTTAGCCTAAAAGTCAAAAAATCACTTAAAAAATTAAAAAAACCAACAACATATATCAAAAAGTCAAATATTCTCTTTTCTCTTTACACATCTTTTTGTAAAATATCAAAAAATCATCATAAACATACTAGTTTTTTTTTACATCATATTTTAGCTAAAAAAATCAAAAAGTTACTAAAAAAACATATTCCCAAACGATGCCTTAATTTAGTGATAAATTTGTTGTGATGCCCCCTCTTTCTCTCAAATCAAGTATGCCATTTGTAAATTTTTAAACAAATTCATTAGTGATAAATTTATCATTGGTTTAAACAATACAGAGCTCCAAACTCGCCAATGTCGACACATCCATCTCCATTCATTCTCTCTCTCTCTCTCTCTCTCTCTTCCTCCTATTTCTATCACCGGCACATCATTTCTTCTTCCTCCTCATCCTTCTCCATCACCAACCATCATTTTCTTCTCATTCGTTGCCATCACCGTTACTCCTCCCCCATCATTCATCCGCTAGCTTCAACACCGTAATCCTCTGCCATCGATCTACCATTTTTGATATCGCCGTTGCCACTATCTTCCGCCATCACCAATCTACCCTTCAATATCGTCGTTGCCACTATCTTCCTCTATCACCGATTTGGGATGCAAAGTGTCCAATCAGTGCATTGAAAGGTGGTGTTGATCTTTTACAGACGTGTAACTGATCTGATAAATTTGTTACTTAATTCAGTGATAAATTTGTTATTTAATTTATGAATGATAAATTTGTTACTTACGCCTCGTTTGGGAAGTAATCTTTTAGCCTAAAAGTCAAAAAATCACTTAAAAAATTAAAAAAACCAACAACATATATCAAAAAGTCAAATATTCTCTTTTCTCTTTACACATCTTTTTGTAAAATATCAAAAAATCATCATAAACATACTAGTTTTTTTTTACATCATATTTTAGCTAAAAAAATCAAAAAGTTACTAAAAAAACATATTCCCAAACGAGGCCTTAATTTAGTGATAAATTTGTTGTGATGCCCCCTCTTTCTCTCAAATCAAGTATGCCATTTGTAAATTTTTAAACAAATTCATCAGTGATAAATTTATCATTGGTTTAAACAATACAGAGCTCCAAACTCGCCAATGTCGACACATCCATCTCCATTCATGTCGATTTTCTTGATCTCTCTCAGATCTAACATCATCTCTCTCAAATCCAAGGGCCACAGAGACAATTCTCATGTTCACTAACACCAACAAATTCATCAATGGCTTTGAAACTTGTCAATGTCGACATACCCCATCTCCATTCATGTCGATTTTCTTGATCTCTCTCAGATCTGACACCATCTCTCTCAAATTCAAGGGACACAGAGGCAGTTCTCATGTTCACCAACACCAACGAATTCATCAATGGCTCTGACAGTTCTCATGTTCATCAATATCACTAATTCATCAATGGCTCTAGCAGTATAACAACAAGGGAAAAATCGAGATAAAAAAATATGATAGGACTTCATGGTGCATGAGATAGAAACTTAGAACCGAATGGGTAATAAGTTCAATTATTAGGATCGATTGGTAAAAAACCGTTAATTTTTTACCCTGTTTATTTTTTAAAACTTTTGAATTCAAACTTCCCTTCTGTTTAAATATTTGTCTAAATAAAATTCTATCTATTGAAATACCAAGCCAATTTTTGCTGTTTGTCTATTTCTTATCTGTGAATATTACATACTTACATGCATTTATACATAAACATAAATTATATCTTTCTTTTATACCAAACCCTATCTGTTCAAAAATCGAATATATAATAGCCTATTAGTGGTTTTTGAAAACAAAAGAAGGTCCTAACACCCCCCAAGATATTTACATAGAACAATGCTTGGAGGAGGCAGAGAAAACAAATCTAATTCAATAAAGCAGAACACTATAACCACCATGTGAGAGAGCTTACATTTCTAACATTTATTACACACAAAAAGATATACATATCGATATGAAACCAATGGTAACCGTGAATAATGCTTGAACAGATCAGAGCTTATCTCACTGAAGTTCTGAATCTTCTATCTGTCTCGAGTTGATCTAGCAATGATTTCAGCCAAAAAACGATTGCTACTTTGTTGTCCGTCGCCAGAGTTCGACCTCGATGACTCGGCGTCGCTGACGTTAGTGATTTTTACGAAGACGAATTCCTCCAAATGACTCTTAAAGAGCAAGGTCAGCGAGATGTCATGCCTTCTAGGCTCGTCACCAATTTCGATGAAGAAAATGAAGAGAAGAGAAGAGGAGAGAGAGAGAGAGAGGAGACCTCGCCTTCACCGATTTCGTCTTTTCCTACTAGGGGAATAGACTTCGCCTTCGCTAACGATGTTTTGGTGCAGATTTGGTGATCTGGACGGCGCTGAGGCGACGACGGAGAGAAGAGAGGGAGAGGGGAAAGAAGAGGAGAGAGAGGGGGTTTCTATACAAACCCTAACCCTAACCCTAACCCTAACCCTAGCTTTCACTTTCTGCCACTTTGGTTCTTTGGAAGAAAGAGACGCAAATTGGAATGGAGTCCGACGAGTAGCAGGTGAAGACGAACTGGTGGGCAACGACAAAGGTGTGGGGGAGGTTACTGGCGCAGATGAAGGACTGGACACTGTGGAGTAGCGTAGGAGCAGTGGCGTCGGTAGTGGAAGAGCAATGCTCGACGGCGAAGATAAAGATGCAAGAGATGAGAGATAGAGAGAGAGAGAGAGATTTGATGGAAAGAGAAAGAAACTGAGATGTGAGATACGAAAGAGGGAGAGAGAGAAATTTGAGATAAAATCAAAGAACAATGCTTGGTAGCTCGAACATGGGGTGGCTTGAATGGCTCGACATTCACTTTGCTAGTCGTCCGACTGATCATTCGGTAAGGAGGCTGATAGCCGCAGTCGACAAAGGTGACAATCGCGGTAGACAATCTTTCACCCAGTCGTCTGAGCGGACATCTGGCCGCTCATTCGAGCAGACGACTGGCCAATACCCATTCGGGCCATTCGAGGCCCCTCCAATTCGAGCTACCACACTTTTTCCAAAATGAAAATGTGGCGGAAGATATGAAGGGATAGTTTAGTCATTTTGCAGAAGCTTGTCTTTGTGATATTATTGTTTAGCATATGGACCTTTTGAAAAATAAAATTTAAGTTTGGATTTATGAACAGAGTGCCTTTAAAAAAAACTAAAATTGGAATAAAAATATGTGTGTATTTTTGTTCGAATTTTCATTTGTTTTTAGTAATTTTTTTTTTATATTTTAGTTAAATTATTTACTTCTTAAATATATCTAATCTTGATGTATCTAAAAAATAAAATAAAATAATTCATTAAAATATGAAAAAAAAATTCAATAAAGACAAATGAAAATTCGTTTAAAAATATTTTCTAAAAATTAAACTAAACAAAGCTTGAGTTTTTTTATTTTATGTATTTTTTTACATTTAATAAATATTTTTTTAATATTTTATATAATTTTTTATTTTTTAGATATATTTAAGGAAAAATTAGTCTAGGGTCCCTCTCCCACTTTTCGTAATGGAAGAGATCCACAAAATTATTTTTTGATGTCTAAGGTCCCTAAACATATCCCCTCTTTGTCTCTC